TGGTAAATCCAAATTAAATTAATTAATTTTCTATATTAACAGGACCGTTCCGACGGAATTTGTCGTCGGAATTTCTCTTCTTCCGACGGAATTATTCCGTCAGAATGATATTACTTACGACGGAATAATTCCGTCGGAAGATATAACATTCCGACGGAATAATTCCGTCGGAAGATTTACTTTTCAACGGAATTCAGTTCGTCGGAACTTTGCGACGAAATTACGTTTAAAGTCAATTTCAGGTCCGACAGACAGAATTCAGTCGAAATTTCCATCGGAATAATGTCTTCCGACGGAATTTCCCTCGGAAAATGTCGAATTTCCTACAATTTGTTTTGCGACAGAACTGTTCCGACGGAATTCCATCAGAAGGCCTTATTCCGACGGATTTTCCTATGTTTCCGACGGAATATTTCCGTCGAAATTAAGCTGTTTTCTTGTACTGTTTGTATATATAAGGATAACTTTAAATACTATTAGACCATCTCCAATGGTGAGACTTGAGGGAAATTTTTTTATGAGAGAGAGAAAGTATTTTTTGCAAAGGATACCAATAAGTTGGTATCTAAACTTAGCAACTCCAAAAGAAAGTTGCTAAGTTTAGATACCTAATTTTGAGTCTCATTGACAAAAAGTGTATGTGGATCCCTTATCAATATTATACTATATTTTGTAATTTATTTAAATTTTAAAATATTTTTTTTAAAAAAAAGAACTTACTATATGAATTTGGTGGGTCATAAATTGAAAGTGACATTAGTATACCTTGGGAAAATAAAAATAAATGAAAATATGATATAGATGATTAAAGTTATTAACATAACTGCAGTACTATCTATGTTTACTTTCCCTCACTTTTCCAAAAATCCTAAAATGTATCAATTGATTTAAAAGAACCTATTCTCGATTCAGAGTGCATCTAGGCACATAGCGCCTATTTATTTCGCATGCACATAGGAGGGCAATTTGGGGTTTTTATTTTTCTATTTTTTTATTTGATGTTTATCTCTTTTAATGGTACAATGATACATTTTGTGTACTATTAGGCATGTATAATACCATTAGAGGATAAATTGTCTTAATAGTACTATAATAGTACTATTCACCATGTAGTGGTACTTTTTGCCATCCAATATTTTACTACATCGTTGAATATTTTCCCCCAAAATATCTTCCACATGTCACCTATTCATTCCACTTGGTGCATTTTCTACCAATGCTTTTTCTCACATTCCCATTATTCACAAAAATGTCATCCTATTTGTTTCTGAAGCATATAGGCGCTATGCGCCAATACTTAACTTTCGAGTCAAGCTTATATCCTAAAATGACTTCGCTAGCCTTAATTTAAATAAGCTACTCATGAGTAAAGCACAAACAACAAAAAAACTAAAATGAGCCAAGCTTGAACTAGCAATTTAAATCTTGGTTAAGCTCGACTTGAGCTCAAAATCGGGAATTTCTTACCAAGCCAAGCTTCAACAAGATGCATGATAATCAACTCGCCTCATTTGACATCCCTAGTCACAACCAAACTTAACTAGAACGTAGCTTATGGATTTTATATGAAAATCAAATGAATTACTACCTCCATTACATATTAGGTGCAACTTTTGTCAAAACAGGTTGCTACATTTTAGTTGCAACTTTTCATTTTTTCCTTTTTTAGTAAGTTTTTTTTCAATGAAAGTACAAAAATACCCTTACTAATGATTTTATAAACATAATTAGTTACCCAAATTAGATTTCATTAATTTCTAATCTAACTTATTAAACATAATATTATCACCCACAATTAAATCAACATTCATAAAAAATCATTCAACTTCTCTTTTTTTAAAAAAAATCATTCAGCTTCCATTATCATCTCCCATGAAACAATCAGACCACCACCTTTACCGTCGTTGTCGCCATTGCTGCATCTCCTCACCATCTTCAACACCGTCGATGCTCATCACCACTGTCAGTCATCGTCGCCTCCTCCTCCGTTGTTCCTCTCTCTCTCTCTCTCTCTCTCTCTCTCTCTCTCTCTCTCTCTCTCTCTCTCTCTCTCTCTCTCTCTCTCTCTATCTCTATCTCTTGTTTTTTTTTAAATAAACCTAAAAAACAATTATTTAGATTTGATGGATTGATGGGTGGGTAGGCTAGTTTGGTGTGGCTCGAGGCAATTTATGGGTGGATTAGGTTGAGTGAGGGTGGTTAGGAATGACAATATTAGATGGATATCCACTAATTCAATTCACCCTCTTTAAATAAATGGACGAAAACTCAAAATAAATGGATGAAAAACGGGTGACGGATGAAGTGGATGATGGATCGAATTGGATGTGGATGATGAATTTTTCACCCGCTAACCATCCACCTACCCGTTTAACATATATAAAGATTTTTAATCTAAGAATTTTAATTCAATAAAATTGAAATATGCAATAAATATACTTTATTTGTTGCAAGTTAATTTTTACAAAGAATATGTAGGTAGTGCTTCCTTTTTATTTATAAAATAATAATAACTTATGATAGAAATAACCATAAATTAAATTTTATGTTCATCCATTAGTCACCCGATCCAACCGTTCCATCCACAGATGATGGATGGACGGATATGAATGATTGGTGAAGCGAGTGATGGATGGATGTGGATGGAGCGATCTGAATGATGGATGGATGCGGGTGAAGCTCCAACCGTTCCGAATCCGATCCATTGTAATCTCTAGGTGAGGGTGAGTGGGGGTAGTTTTGGGGTGATTCAATTAGGTGAGTGTGGGTGGTTTTGGGGGTGAGTCACGGTGGTTGTTCTTGGTTGGTTTTGGCTGAGAGGGTGTAGTTTCAAGGAGGTTTAAGTTGAGAGGGGGTAGTTTTAAAGTGGTTTGGGCTGAGAGGAGGTGGTTTTGTGGTCGTTCAGGTGGAGAGGGAGTGGTTTTACGATTGTTCGGGTGTGTGTGGGTGGTTTCAAGGTGGTTTGGGTATAGATAGGGTGGTTTCAGGGTGGTTCGGGTTGAGATGGGGTGATTTCAAGGTGGTTTGGGTTGAGATGGGGTGGTTTCAGGGTGTAAGGTGGGTGGTTTTGGGGTGGCTGCTATTGGGATACGGTGCTGTTGGTGGTGGGCTCGGTGCTTTAACCATTATGAAATTTTGTTTTAAAATTCGTGCCGGGTTGAAAGTTGCAACTAATTGTAACGGAGGTAGTATATATAACCGACCTTAATATAGCGCAGATTTTCGATACAACGTAACAATGAACGGTGGGGACCGGCACATTATACAAATATCATTTCTCTTTACCACTATTTATAACCTATTACCAAATAGACCACTAAATAGTATTCCCTCCGTCCCTTAATTAAGAGCTTATTTGGGTTTTTTCACGAGAACCAAAAGGTTGATTGGGAGTACATGTGGGCATATGGGGTTAGACAGAAATAGAGGAAAAAAAAAAGTGGTTGGAAATTATTGAAGAGAGGGAGAGATAAAGTGTTGGGAATTAATGAAAAAAGTCACCATTAGTACAAAAAAGGGATCACTACTCATCAAAAAGTGGGAAATATTATTAAAAGGTACAACCTTAAAATAGAAATAGGCTCTTAATTTTGGGCTCTAATCCCAAAAAAAAAATACAAGCTCTTAATTAAGAGACGGAGGAAGTATTATACATCAACACGTTTTTTCACAAGATGATAAAGCTAAGCAAGGACAATTTTATCTCTAGTTGGCTTGATGTAGTACTTAATCACTTTCACCCATTGATGGTTGACAACTGTAGAATTTCAATCTTACTATATCCGTAATAATATCACCCACCCTTGTGCCTCTCTAAACGCCATAACAAAATATATACTATGATGTAATAGATAAAATAAAAGGTAATTTTGCCTGTATTCCACGAGCAAAAAGGATTGACTTTGCAATGACTTTTTTTGTACAAACTATTAACTTTTTTGTTGAAACTTGAAATTGGACAAGTAAAAAATAGGACAAAAGGAGTGATAATTTTGACTTACTACTGATTTTTATATACTATTATATTTGTCCCTTTTATTTGCACTATGGGCCTACTTTACGTGAGAGATTTATGAGTTATATGGTGCAAACAAAAAGGAACAGATAGAGTAATTGTTTTTCTCAATCTAACAACAAGTTCTTACTAACCTATAAAAATCAAATTTAACATGTAAAAATTTGAAGTCCTAATCTAATAAAGCTTCTCTTTTATTGCAATCAAGTCTGCTCATAATTGTCTGAGATATCCACTTTTGAGTCTTATCCATAAACCATTTCCACAAGCTATTAAGTGGTATAACAAAAGTCCAACCTAAACTTTACCTTGGCGACTCGACTCATGGTCACCCGTACGAGTATAACAGCTATTTTCTCTGTCCCATAATACTTAGAATGTTGTGGTGGACATGTTGTTTAAGAAAACTATAAGTGGGTCTATTTAAAACATTTGTTTATTATAGTATAAAAGATTCTCTTTTGTATTTTAATATTATAAGAAAACAAAAAGTGGAGGAGGTGGGGGTAATGAGAAGAGAGAAAATGTAGGATTTACTTGGGTTTTGGGGTTTGTGGTCCCAAAGAGAGAATAAGAAAATATTTTTTTTATTAGTGGTTCCATTCCATATTTAGTAACGTATCAAGTATTTTGGAATGAACGGAAATGAAAATTGTGTCAAGTATGGGACGGAGGGAGTAAAACATTGGATAAGAACGCGCGTACATATGAACAATTGGACTTATAGGATGATGAGTTTAAAACTTGACCATGACTTTTCCTATAGTGCAAAAAATAGGTCGAATTAATATTGAGTGGCCTTATAGATCCCCCACATGGCTGCACCGTACCCTACCAATGAGAGCGAGACTCTTAATCTAGCCAATTGATCCTAGGAATGAATTATGTTACGTAGAATATTTTACATGTGCATATGTACTGGTTGTTGTTGCAACCAACTTGCCAAAGGTATCTTTTTAGTACTATAAATAAAGCTTGCCCACGTTCTACATGTATGTAACCAAAAACCTCTCATTCAACAATATAGTTGATCAATTTAGTTTGAAGAGAGAAAAAAACAAAAAAAAATAATAATTAAATAAATAAATAAAAACTTTGTCTCAAATTTCTTTTTTTGTTTTCTAAAATGAGCAAAGTTTGTAGTCTTCAGTCTTCTATTCTTTTGTCCAAAAATAAATTGTGTAACAATGAAGAAAAGGGAAGAAAATTGGTTAAATTTGCTACTCCTTTTAAGTCACTTAATTGTTCATTATCTATGAACCACACTAGTAGTACAAGCACTACCAAAAGTAGTAATGGAAAATTTGGGAAATTTGGTGGGAAATATGTGCCTGAACTTTTAGTGACATGCTTGAATGACCTTGAAGATGAATTCTACAAGGCCCTTAATGATGCCGAGTTCCAGGTTAGTTGTTATATTAATTGAATAAATGATATGGTTGGTGTGTGCGGATAATTACTAACGAACCATTATATCATACATACCTTGCGTACACTTGGCCGTACTTGTAGACACACATGTAGATGTTTCATTTTTTTATTATTATTAATTTTTTTAGTCCGGTATTTACGGGTTAGACACTTTGAAAGTGAGGGAGGAAGGATAAGGGATCCCTATCCTCAAAGTGTTTCTAGTGGGGATTGAACCCTCAACGTGAAGGTTGGAAGGTATAATCCTTACCATTATAACATCAACTGTTCAATGCAAAAATACGAGTGATAATATTATTAGTTTTTGCATTCTAATTTAAATATACTACGCATATATATACCAAACAACTTATAGTAAAGGTCATGGTCTCATGGACTAATTGATACTTATCGATCGATCGAGTTTGAGTATGTATATGTAGTAAATTGTTACCAATTTTTGTTTAAGTGTGACCTATTCTATTTTTCCGTGAATTTGGCGGTAATACTAATCATGAGTGCCTTCTATTTTTATCATTTCAGGAAGAGCTAGGGACGGCACTAAGGGACTATGTAGGACGTGAAACACCCTTATACCACGCACAAAGGTTATCGGAACACTACAAGGACAAAGACGGGCGTGGGCCGGAAATATACTTAAAGAGGGAGGATCTCAACCACGGAGGTGCTCACAAGATCAACAACGCCCTTGCGCAAGCCATGCTCGCTAAACGTATGAGGCGTATGAGCATTGTGACGGCTACAGGCGCCGGGCAGCATGGTGTGGCCACTGCTGCCGTGTGCGCCAAGCTCGGTCTCTCTTGTACCATTATCATGGGTAGATTGGATATAAAGAGGCAACCATCTAACGTACGCCTCATGAAGCTTCTAGGGGCACAGGTAAACACTATCTCAATAACTTTGTTAAGTCTAATTAAGCATGCTCTTTAGTACTACGTATATTTCATATCCATATTACTTACACGCACTATCTCATAGGATTAGAGATCATCATCTTCAAATCTTGATATTCAAAACATATTACTTACTCCGTTCTTTCTTCTACTGGTAAATTTCACATACTTTAATTTGACTTTTTTTTTTCTTTAATGAAATTAAGGAAATTATTGATTGAAATTGTATATCAGCAAACATGATAAAAACTCATTAACCATAAAAGAAAAGAGAGTATTTTGAACGGAAAGAGCTTTTTGAAAAGTTTTTAGCTTATTGTACCTTATTAGAGGTTTGACCAATTAAAAAAACTAATTTGGATGTTTGGTAATTAGCTTATTAAAAGAGCTTTTTGGGCTCAAAAAACTCATTATAAGAGCCTTTTGAAATTAGCTTATTGAACAATTAGCTTTTTGGCTATTAAATACACCAAAATAGCTAACAATTAATAGCTATTTACCAAACACTTTTACACAATCAACTATTTACAACCAGCTAGTCAAACCAGCTAATATAACCAACTAGTCAAATCAGCTAATACAACCAGTTATATCAATCAGCTACTAGCTAATTACCAAACAGGGTCATTACAATTTATTATTTGCAACGATTAAATATCTTCTACTCACACTTTATATCAAATAGTTGTAAAAAACATGAAACAGAGGAATTAGATAAATTAGAAGTGGACCTTACTTTACACTAATAATTGTAGCAATAAAGTAGCTTTTATGATGTCAACAAGACTAGTGTACGTGATGTCATGCACTCAAGAGTCAAGACTCGTATGACTCACAAAGTCATAAATGAAAAAAAGCAAAGTTTTTACCTCGAATGGTTTTCAGGTTATAACGTTGGCAACACTAACACCGAGATACGTATGGACATTGTTGGATTTTTTTTTTTTTTTTAAGTAAATATATATATATATATATATATATATATATATATATATATATATATATATATATATATATATATATATATATATATATATATATATAAAACTAATTGTAGTACTTGGACGAGTATATTATTACAAAGTAATTAATCAGGATAGCATGTGACTAGTATCGCATCATATTTATTCAATTTTTGTACAAACAAACAACAGCAAATTCTTTAGTATATAAATCAAATTATTTTTACCCGTCACATCATTAACCACATGTTTTGAAGACACATTTTATGTTGTCTTCTGGCCCTATAGCATTTTCTGATACAAATTATTATTGAAACCAAGTCCTTAAATAAAATAATTAATACTCCATGTTAAATGAAGGTCAAATCGGTAGACGGGAACTACAAAGACGCAAGTTCAGAAGCAGTACGGGAATGGGTGGCAAACTTGGAGACCAGCTATCACTTGCCTGGGTCGGTCATCGGGCCCCACCCATGCCCAACGATGGTCCGGGAGTTCCAATCAGTCATAGGGAAGGAAGTGAGGAAACAAGCGATGGAGAAATGGGGTGGGAAACCTGACGTTCTGGTGGCGTGTGTAGGAGGTGGATCGAATGCAATGGGTTTGTTCCATGAATTCATAGAAGACGAAGGGGTTAGATTGGTTGGAGTAGAGGGTGCTGGATATGGATTAGAAAGTGGATGGCACTCGGCTACCTTGTCTAAAGGAGAAGTTGGTGTTTATCATGGAGCTATGAGCTACTTGTTACAAGACGATGATGGTCAAATTGTCGGTCCGTATTCAATTGGTGTTGGGTGAGTATACATGCACTAATACATTTAATGTGAATCGATTTAAACTGTCGGAAAAAGAATGATTAACAATGACTGATCCTTGATCCAACATGTATTGTACCCGAATGACAGAATATGGAAGAAAACAAGTTTGCGATCATTATATTATATTGGCAGCATTAAGGAGGTTCAAATGTCAGCATCATTACTTTTTAAATAGACTAGACAGCACTAATAGGGGGAATATTCCATAAACCTTGACAAATTTACAAATAATCTCATGATCTACTAAATAATCGTGACATCCACGTAGACTGGACAGACTAAATGGAGTACAAAGCTTTAATATAACTGAATTACGATTTACATGAACTTGCAGGTTAGAATGTCCAGGTGTTGGACCAGAGCTCAGCTACCTGAAGGACAACGGACGAGCGGAGTTCCATGCAGTCGAAGATGAAGAGGCCCTACATGGTAAGCAACACCTCAAAGCATAATGGGGAGGGAGGGACCATATCCTTGTTAGAATGCTTTCAATAATGGAAGAGAGGACGTGGATCTCCTTGTTCCTCTCTTGCTTTGGACATCTATGTACTTTTCTTTCCTTTAATGGGTTCTGTAACTTTCAGACAACCAACTGCCTTTACTTTAGTGGATGGAGTAATCCCTTTCACTCAATTTTATTGCTTCAACAAAATCTTTTCTCTAAAATTAATTTCAAATTTATTCGACAGGCTTTGGATAAGACAGAGGGAATACTGCATGTGCACTAAAAAGTATAATGGTCCCAATTGGCCTTTTCTAAGGAAATGGAGTCTAAGAGGGTAGATCCTCTAACCAGAATAAAATGTGGTCGTTTTTCTTGCAGCATACAAGAGGTTGTGCAGGTTTGAAGGAATTTTCCCAGCCCTGGAATCCTCGCATGCAATAGCTGTTCTGGAGAAATTGTGCCCTACTCTGCCTCATGGCACCAAGGTTGTGGTCAACTGCAGTGGTCGTGGTGACAAGGATGCCGCCACTGTTCAGCAGCTTGACCAACTTCTCTTATTTAATGCTATGGTAGAAAAAAAAAATCCATCAAACAGCTCTAAACAGCTCTCACTATGCACTGACTGCAGCGATATTCCATCTGAAGAACATATAAGTTTTGGCACAGAGAGTACAAAGGTCTTGCACTAGAAGAAAAGGCTACACATGTAACCGTTATACATCAGAAAGAAAATTTTAGGCTGGTAACACTAACACTAGCAGTTTAGCTAAATAATATCGTAGAACAGGGTGTGGAGATTACCTGGAAGATAAGACTAGTTCTACCTCCTCCGTATATCTGTAATCAAGTCCACAACGATGGTCTTCTCTTTGCTGAAGCCATAATTTACACATTAATAAATAACAAATATTTAAATAGGCATAGTGGTGAAATAAAGTATAGACTAGAAGAGAAAGGTATTCTCATAAGTCAGTGTGGCTAGCTACTGTAATTCCAAAATATGCAATAAAATATATGCTGAAGAGGTGAGAATAACTCTAATTTTTCAGGCTAGCAAGTACAGTAATACATATTGAAGCCTTTTGCAGATAAATGACATGACACCGGGGATAGCTGTAACCAGCTGCTTCCCTTTCAAGGCTGCAAATTCATATTTTGGGAAGTAGCAATCTCTTCACATCAAAAAACTGATTAACGAGTTCAAAGGCCAACTCTTCATGGAATATTTATTTCATCTCAAATAACACCAAACTAATTGCAAGTTTACTTTATAATGGACCAACAAGCTTTATTAATACTTGTATAATAACATTTGGCACTTAGAATCCAAAATTCAGAATCCATAGTTCCTTAGCCTAGTATTCATCCACACAAGGCATATGCATGTCTCACAAGATAAAACCTAATTGCTCAAAACCATAGAATCTCCCCACGCATTATGGCCACTATGTTTGAGGCACTCAACCACGAATCTTCAGGGTTTGTTTCATTGCCAGACTGAACATTTTCACAACCCTAACAATTTCACAACATTTGGCAAATAGAATCCAAACATCAGCAGTTAAGAACCCAAAGTTCCTCCCACAAAATCAGTAACATCTACATACCAAATACACATGTCTTGCTAGGAAAGCATAGTCTCCCTAAGATATGGATTATGCTACTACGTTTAAGGCACTTGAGCACGAAGATTTGGAATTTGTTTTATTGCAGGGAAGAAGTACTCACAGCCCATGTTGAGCAAAATATTTCTAATACCATCAGCAAAAATAAAATACGGTGATATCTATACCTTTGTGGCATTCAATATATTTTTTTAAAACCAACTTATAATAAAAAGCATTTTACTAGTACTAAGGCTTCGTTCTTTTAACCTTAGAAGTATAAGTTTCCGAGAAAAATAAGTCAAATTTGGGGCAATGAATTCAGATAAAGGCTATCACATTCAGTTTACAATTGAAATAATGTGTATCACTTCAGATAAGCTTCAGTAAAGGTCAGTCACTAAGTTAAGGTCTTTTCAAGTAAAAAGAATGAAGCCTAAATCACTATTTTAGAACACGCAAAAAACAGTCAAAGCAGAACCTCATATGCCTCAAAAGCACCCAATGTAAGGAAAGATAAAGTGCTTAGCAGGAAAATTTTGATCTAAGTCAAGTAGATTCTTAAACAACTTCTTTATGAAGGATATTGATGTGTTGCTTGGGAGTGAATCACTCACGACCCAATACTATAACTGATAAATAGACTAGCGAAGAAATCCAGGTTGTCTTAAAAGAATCTTCTTGTCACCAATCACTTGTCTAAATTTAATCAGAGTTTTAAGTGTAAAGTGACTATAAATTCTGGTTTAATTTGATTTTGTTCAGGCCACAGAAGACAAAAATGTTACCAATTGCCCCCAGTTCTAGATATAGAAACAAAAATAGGGAGAACTGACAGTAAAATGATCATATTAGAGGAAATCAGATGATTAACACAGTACGTTTTAGCCAAAAGACACGTCCTGAGACTCATGATTATAGCCTAATGGCCCTATTACATACCAAAAATATATGTACCTGTTTGGTAAGTAGGTGGTTATGGAAATAAATTTGTAAATACATTTGAAAGGAAACTTCTTTGCCAATGCCCATGGAATGTTAGATCACCCCAAAGTATCTCTTCTTTCATAATTCATTACCATACATCACCAGTTAAGGGAGTGGTATTGGGTGGTAATAGATATTTATGAAAATATAAACACATGTTTGGGGACGAGGAAACATACTTACATTATCATGGTCATTTGCATGATAGTTTCATTGCAAACTTACAAATTAATTCATAATCCATAACGCCCTTTATAACCTCCTACTAAATGGGCTGTTTTTGGTATTATTTTTGGTATTCAAACACTGCCTAGATCCCAATAATCAGCTACGAGACAAGTTCCAGAATTTACAAACTATGAACTACAGCATATGCAAGTATTTAGTACTCCCTCCGCCTCAATTTACTTGCCCCATTTGACCTAAAAAAACAGTCAAATGAGGCAAGCAAAATGAGATGAAGGGAGTATAAATTATACTTCGTATTAGCTGCTAATAACAAATTAGTAAGTCAACAATATTGATCAAGGATAATTACTGTTCAAAGAGCAAAGAAAGTACGCAACCGTAAACATAACTATCATCTCAACTTTTCAAGTCAAAAGCAAATTTTACAAGCAACTATCAAGCTCCGTTACCTGAAGGACAGCGACCATGTAGAATCTCCACTGTCAGAAACATAATTCCAGCAGTAAGCAGCACACAAACTGTCAATTTAACAAAACAAAAATTAAACAACAGGCTAAGTACATAATAAAGGAACTAAGAAAGAAAAAACACTGATCCAAGTAACAAATTCTCTCACGGCATTCACAGCACAAGTTGGAACTAACTTCCCTATGGATAGCTTCACTTAAATAAGCAATGGCTGGCTTACAACCGTATTATAGTTGTCCGGTAACAGTTATAACAATTATCAAAGAGTGCCGACTATCTCAGGGAATACCAATGAGCAACAAAGTACTAAAAAACAGCAAATTTTGCATTCTCTCAACAGTTTAATTTCATCAAATTGAGGAATCAAGTTATGTACACAGCATCTTCATAGTCAGTAGACAAGATGTGAAAGAATGCCTCTTACATCTTTACTTTGAATTTCTCAGACCCTTTCCAACAGTATCTCCATGAAATGCATCAAAGAAACAATATAGTTCTAGTAAATAAACTGGAATTGCATGGTAGAGGAATGTTATCAAATTCCGACGAGAGAGAGAGAGAAAGAGATCATTGAATGATTTGAATGATAATGTAAACACCAAAAATAGCACCATATCATAATAAACCATGGTGGAAATGAGTTTGGGGTTTACAGTTTACTATTCCTCAATCTTCTCTTCATAGAATCAAACACAAAGTATGTTGTATTATATCTCACAACATTCCCTGTAACAAGTTTCAGCAAAAATAATAAAAATTTTCAGCTGGCCCTGAAGAAATACAAGATAGATCATGTTATAATATCAAAAATCGGCAGAGAAGAATCTAGGGTACCTGACCCCTAGTCTTCTTCAGGAGAATCCTAACTAATAATTGGTTAGGTTCTCAATCCTCAATCAATATGACAATGCTTTTGTATAACTTTAGAGAGAAGTTGAATCAAGTAATTTCTTAAACAGCCACTCTGATACACAGTAACATAAGAGTAAAAATTTACAGATCACAAAAGTGTTCAAAAATGTTCCTCTAATCACCACCAGCTGACAGATTGCAACACTACCACTAACCAGAATGGAGGTTCACTCCACCTCATATAGTCATATACCATTTGCTAAAAGTGTCTTCAATTCTTAATGATAGCCAGCGCTACCACACCTTTCTGGCATGAATATTATTTTGATGAAGCTTCTTATATTAGCCACCCTAGCTTGAAAAATGAAAATCAAACAGAATTTTTCATTTTTCTGTTCTACTCGTAACTAGGAAGAATAGAGCAACATTCCTTCTTTGTATCTTCACCCCCTAAACAAATGATGACAGCTCTTAAAGCAGGTCAGTTGATCAGTCAAAATTCCCTCATCTAAGTAGTAGAAGTCCTTTTTACCCAACAAATATAAGTTGTACAGAGCTCAGGTAACTCATTTTTGTAGGGTAGCACAAACTTGTTTAAGAATAAAGACTCACAGCTGCATACAGCCGTCACCATTTCCACTTTAACATTGATAAGTTTCCTCTCTTCCAAGACCTTTAATATAGTATAGCGGGGCAAAACCCTATCTGTCATACTATATGATATCACATAAGAACGATTTGCTAAGTACTCTGGTTGGCATCCCAACTCGTTCATGAAAAAATTCAACCGCACACGAATTGTTTTCTCCGACAACATCAAACACCGCGGTTGTTCTTCCTCATCATAACCTTAATATCAGAATCAGTCCATCCAAAGTTCGTAAAAATCCCATACTTAGTTTCCAGGGTTTTCTCACTCAACGAAGCTAGCAACACAACAACATCAGAAAACTGGGACAACTTGGGAGGGATCCCAAACTCCTCATGGACCCTCTTTAAAATCCCTTTAAACCTTTTAGGATCATGCCCAAAAATCTCAGTATATTGAACTAAAAGATACAATATTCTTTCATTAGTGAAACCATACTTTTTAAACAGCTCTATATTAGGCTGTAATCCTGCAGCAATATCAACAGTCATCAACCAGTATGACCTCTTCAAAAGTTTGAAGAATTTTTTGTCATCACCCACAATTGATTTCACATAACTAATCATGGGTATAATCCGATTGGTAAAATCCCTTCTTAAAATAGAAGAATTTGAAGCAACAATATCAGCTAAATCAGAACCAAAAATACCCAATTCTTCTAAAGCTTTAAATTTGGGAATTAGGGTTCTATCAACACTACATTTCAGCAAATTTGGCAAAGAAAATACAAGTCTTTTCATCTGGGTATTGCTAAATCCTCGTTGTTTCAAGAAATCAACAACTAAATGAGGGTTTTGAGTGGATTTAATACGTTTGAGTTACTCACCTTACTCCAGGAAATAGCTGCTTCTTCCCTTGAAAAACCCAGAGATTTAACCATGAAATCCATCATAGAAGAGGGAGATTTTTCAGTTGCAGTAGATGTTGAGTATAGAAACAAGCGTTTGAGGTGGAGAGAGAAATGGGTCCGGAATTGGACGCCATTAGAACACAATTTCAGCATTTTACACAGAATTACTGTAAGAAAGTGCCGCTAAAATTCGAAGGGCTTTTGTTAAAAGAAAAAATTGCATGCAAGGGTCCGTTAAAAATAATTCCTCCTTTAGGTTATTTTTAAATAATTCGACTTTTATATCTAATCCGCTTAAAATGGTTCCAACTAATCATAACAAGTTATTTGACATGAATAATTTTTTTAAAAAAGTTAATTATTTAAAAAGAAAAAATAAATAAAATTAATTATTTAAAAAACCACCACCAGCCCAAGCCTTCCTTGCCCCGTGGCTTCAGCCACCCAGACCCCTAACCCCAGCGTCAGAGCCAGCGCTGGCAACGCTCATGAACCCCTCCCCTGAACCACCAATCCGCCTCTCTCCCTCACGAAACCCAAGCAACGTCTAAAGCACCGCCGGCGAGCCATAACATCATCTCCGATCCCCGCCCGACCCCTTGCCTGCCTACCAGCGCTGGAACGCCGCGCCGAACACTTATCCCCTTTCCCATCGCAATTCCAGCCACTTATCCCCTTTCTCGTCGCAATTCCGGCCAGTTCTCCCCTTTCCCGTCCCGATCCCAGTCCCCTTCCCCTTCCCCTTCTTGGTCCTGATTCCGGCCTCCGTCCCCTTCCCCGCCCCGATTTCGACCTGCCTCCTCTTCCCCCGTCTAGATTTCAGACCCACTCCCCGTCCCCGGTAACGTTTTTCGCCCCTCCGGTTAACGACGGCTTCAAGGGTTGAGCTGGGGCTAGGGAATGGCTGGCCGGGCTGGCGGTTTCTTTTTTTTTAATTCATTTTTTTTTAATTTTAGATGAATCATGTGGTGACACATGTACTTTAAAACCCAAAAAAAAACCTATTTAATAGGTTACCAGTCACCTGGGACCATTTTGAGCGGATTGATATCAAAAGACGGATTATTCAAAAATAATCGTAAGATGGGATTATTTTGGGCGGATGAGCCAAAAATGGGATTATTCTAGGCAATTTTTCAATTCCTTTGTTAAAATTCGAAGGACTTAATTGTGTTGATTGGACATGAAATTGAAAAGCCTTGTATGTCATATTACTCTTAATTCTCGATTATTAAAATTATAAAAAGAAAAGATAATAATATTATTATAAAAATACTTTGTATCATACATTAACATTTTACTATTACAATATATGTTGGTTAATAAATCAAGTTTAGGTATTAAGTGAATAGTGCAAAAGTCAAAACGTAACATTAAAATTGAAAAAGTGGTGTCTATGTTATTAGATCGAAAGAAAAGAATGTAAAATTGAAATATAAAAAGGATTTGATCTATATGAATATAAATGTTATTCACGTAGTAACTTAGTGCATCACTCGGTCCCAAAACCTAGTTAAATTGAAAAAGGCTTAAAGATTCGCTTAGGACCGCTCATTTACAACTATTTAAACTTTGATACACAATCTCTAAAGAAAATAAACCATAATACAATAGAATAACTTACATACTCATGTACAGTCTGTTATTGTTACAAGATTAATAATAAGAGAATTGAAGCAAATCAAACACTTAAATCAATTTTATCAAGGGTAACTTTATGGGATTTGAGAAGGTGAGTTAGTACTAAAAGATACTAACAACGAAGAAAAGAAGAAGCGAGACAAAACCACAAGGATTATGGGAGGAATCTCGAAAAAATAAAAAATTTGACCATGAAAACTCTTAGCAGTACAATAATAAATTCTAAAGTCCTTCAATTATTAATCTATCCATTACAGATTAATAAAATAACTACAAGTTGTTTAGAGGTTCTCGAGAGTTGTCTTAAATAGAGTAATGTCAAGAGAATGAGTGTCAAGACCACATCCAAATTATTCTTCTTATTTGTCAAGCAAATGTACAAATCTAAAGTTCTTGTCAAAAATCTAAAGTTCTTAGGAAAAGAAGGAAAGAGAAGAAATGATGACGATATTGACAAATCCAATTGTAACTATTCTCTCGCACTTTTTGGAGTGGGCTAATAAAATAGATAATCTCAAAATAAATTTAGAGGTGTACTAAACAATGATAGAAATGGACCTTATATTGGGGTTCACCACTTCAACAGTTCATTAACTAAAACAAGAAAGTATCGTAGTATGACAATGGAAACATGCATGCAATATGTTAGGAGTACGAATTTCTTTTGATGGGGTCTAGCTATTTCTTAATCACTTTCTAAATGTGAAACGTCTATTCGAGTTGTCGTCTATATGACTTAATTTTACATGTAATTTCTTTCAACTATATATTCTTAATTCAATCCTAGTATCATTTTGTGGTTAATACGGATGGTCATATAATGTGTTTATTGCCATCCTCTTTTTAACAAAGTAATAAGTAGTTAATTCGCCTAATTCTATTTCCGAAGAAAAAGTTTACATTATTTTTGAATTTTTTAAGACCTACGGAGTATAAGAGTTTAGATTAATATATTACGTACTCTTTCAAAACTAATAGTAAATCCCACTTAGTGAGGTAATATTGATCGTTGATCCAAAAAAAAGTTACTGATTTTTACATTTACTCTTACTTTCTCCAAACTAATTATAATTGGTATGTTCAATCAACCTTATTATTTTTAGGAAAATTTAACAGGAATAATCCAATCTTTTGTCCGTTCTCCCATATTAATCCTACCTTTTCATTATTCCTCATTAATCCAACCTTTGCCCCCCTTCTTCCCATATCACACCTTGCAGGTCACCTTACCCTTTCAACCGGTTACCCATCCACGTGGCACTTCCTAATTGGTCAATTTTTTATTTTTTATTTAAAAAAATATATTTAATTAAAAATAATAAAAAATGAAAAAAAAAATAATATAACTTAAAAAAATTATTTTGATTCAACGAACTCTTTCTTGACTTGGCTACTTTAATTTTCATTTTCTATTTTGGATATCTTTGAACTCCTTCCCCTTTTTCCTTCCCTAACCTTTCTCACTCCTCTCCCTCTTCATTCGCCCTTCCTGATAACAACCACCGTCACCCCGCCCCTACGCCGCCCCGCCGTTAACCCTCCTATTACCTCGCGTCTACACCCAACCCACCCCTTCTCGGTATTGTCGCTGCTACGTCCTCTCTTTTTCTTCTCTTTTTGTTTCAATTCATCACCACCATTAAAGTTTTCAAGTGTGAGGTTTTGATGGTTAAATTTAACCATGATAACTCTAGATCTAGTGTTTTCAAGGTTAAATTTAACTAAATAAAACCATAACCGAAGTTTTGAAAGGTAAGTGTGGGGTTTTTCGGGGTGGTTTGGGGTTTTAAATTTGTGTGATTTGGAGTTTGTAGTGGTTGTGTTGTGGTTCGTGCCTTCATGGTTAGTGAGGTGGTGAGGTTCGTGGTGTTGATAGGTTTTGGTGGGTGTGGTTTATAGCTTGTGGTGGTTGTGGTTCGTGGCGGTAGGGAATGGTGAATCTTGTGATGGTGTGTTGAGGTTGGTGGGTAAGGAAGGGGAAGGGAGGTGAGGTGTTAGACCGGTAATGGAGAGGAGAGGAGAAAGAATGAAGCTAAAGAGAAGGGTTGGTGGTGGTGGGTTGGTGGTTTCGGCTAGGTCAGGTTAGTGGTTTTGAGTCTAGGTAGGAGTGCGGGAAGGGTTTCGGGTCTGGGTTTGGGTAAGTGGGTTAAGGGGTGGCTGAGGTGGTGGTGGTGGCTAAGGTGCGGGTGATTGCAAGAGGGTGACACGTGGCTGGCTAGCTGGTTGACAAGAAAAGGAGGGAATAGTGGGACGGCTTGTTTGACGGGGAAATAGGGTAGGTTGACGGTGAAGTGAGGTGGTGGCGGGAAGGTGTAGTTGTGGCTGTTTTGGTGCTAGTGGTGGCCAAAGGTGTAATGGTGGTTGTTTTTGGTGTAAGGTAGTCAAGGGTGGTGAACGGAGGTGGAGCTTTAGGTGGTGGTAATGGAGGAGGAGGATTGCAAATGGTAAGAGGAAGGAGAGGGAAAGGGATGACCTGTTGTTTAGGTAACCGGTCATTTAGGTGTGATATGGGAAGAAGGGGGGCAAAAGTTGGATTAATGAGGAATAATCAAAAGGTGGGATTAATATGGAAGAACAGACAAAAGGTTGGATTATTCCCGTTAAATTTTCCTTATTTTTATTTATCTTATTAAAACTTATTAAGTCCTATTGAAAACTATTTTAATTGTAATATGCCCTTATTAATCACTCTTACATCAAAGTAAGAAATACTCAACTCAAAATTCCTGAACTTCTTATATGAACTTATTTTTCATGAGAGTAGGTGAATATAACATGACATATAAGTTTAAGTTAGTTATTATTTTGTAATGTGTGTGTGTGTGTGTGTGTGTGTGTGTGTGTGTGTGTGTGTGTGTGTGTGTGTGTGTGTGTGTGTGTGTGTGTGTGTGTGTTGTGTGTGTGTGTGTGTGTGTGTGTGTGTGTGTGTGTGTGTGTGTGTGTGTGTGTGTGTGTGTGTGTGTGTGTGTGTGTGTGTGTGTGTGTGTGTGTGTGTGTGTGTGTGTGTGTGTGTGTGTGTGTGTGTGTGTGTGTGTGTGTTTAGAGAGCCACAAGGGAGGGTGATGAGAATCGATCCCATGATCACCTGAAACCGAAAGATAGCTCTAACCACTTGAGTTATCCCTCACTCTCAATTTTGTAATTTTTTATAAGTACATAAATAAGTTTACTATCATTAAACCTATACTTGCATAGGAGGGTGCCCATGTCTTTTTTATAAACATCGCGTGTTTATCAAATGGCAATTTTGTAAATAAATGGCCAAAAATTTACACTATTCATGATAGAACCGCTAACATGATTAGCAGTTTTGTTAGCGGTTCTACCATGAACAATACACATGTTTTGATTAATTATATACAATGTAAGTTTGTCGTTTGGATAATATAGTTTGTTTATCATATCATAATCATAAACTTGTATTTTCTCATAATGTAGTTGCATTCAATAAGACATTGTGGTTAGGAAAATCAATGAAATAATTATCGATCAGTGGCTCGCCTACATACTCCATAGAAATTATTCAATTATGCATGCATGTCATTTACAATATAATTGAAATTTAAACCTTTGTATTCGAATTGTATCAATTAAATGATCTATTTTTCCCATTGATATTGTACGAGTCCCTCCTTAAGCCTAGATCCCTTTTGGTTCCATTTTCTTTTTGCACAATTTTCGACATAATATTATAATTAAAATATATCTCAAGTTATGTATTACAAAAAATCTATAAATGGCATTCAGTTTGTATTTGATATATGAATTTAAAATCAAGATGACTCCCTTCCCACTTTGTAGTTGTAGGACTCCCTTCTCTCTAAATTGCATTCACTTTCCTATATATTCAAAAACAAAAAGAAATTCACTTTTCCACTCCTTAGTTCCTTACCTTGAAACTAGATTATATGCACGTTATAAGTGCATTAGGTTGCTTACTAATTGATAAACGAGCTGAGTAAGTAAAAATTAGAAGCATTTTTAGGTGTTTTAGCTGGACACTGTAGTCTCACCCGCCACTGACCTTGTTGAAGTGGAATCCTTTGGATCCAATGAAGATGATTCCATGGCTTTTGAACTCCCAACACCTACTATTTTCAAGTTCTCTACCACAACAAAGAAACATAGTAGGCCGCACATGTCAAGGAAGAAGAACAAGAAAGGTAATCTTTATTCCAATTATTGTTTTTGCAGGTCCAAGAAGCGAAAAGGAACAAACTCTGATCATCTTATGGCTAATGTCTACGATGGAACCCCACATTTGTATCCCATAGAAAGTCATGAAAGTTGTATCCCCATTCCCCCGTTATAATTCTTGTGTTAGTTTGGTTAAGAGAGCTAAACCCTCTCCTTGTTTTATTTGTAGTGTCGAGTCAGTTGGGAGCTAGCCTCCTTATTGGACCGTTGTCAAAAAAAAAAAAAAAGGTCTCACCTGCCCTTAGCTTATATAATAGAAAGAAAAAGGAAAATTTGCAAAGCATATTCAAGTG